TTTTGAATTTCTTTGGATCTGAAATTCGAAAAATCGAACGTTTTGAATTCTTATATACATAAAGTTCGATAAACTCAAACATTTCAAATTTTTTTCTACATAAAGTTTGAAAAGTTCGAAGGTTTCGCTCTTCTTTTAAACCTAAATTCGAAAAAAAAAACTTCGAAGGTTTCGAATTTCTTTCAAGTCCAAGTGCGCAAGTCCGATTTTGATGTTCCGCCACAGTTTTCGTTTCAAATAACGTTTTCACGCCTCACTGGTTTTCACGAAATCAGGTTTCGAAAAGTTCAGGTGTACTATTTAGACTGCGCGAAGTTGGTCAGGCAATTAAATGAGACGACGAGTGTCCCGGATGTGCTGTAATATTTGCCAGTGCAGAGTTACGTGTGACCATAGATCAGTAATTGTGACCGCCAGGCCGGGGGGGGGGGGGGGGGGGTCATTAACGTGTATCACGAGGTAGTGATCACACGAACGCACTGTTTAACGATGCTCATCCAGTTCGAAACGGCGTAGTTCAGGTAGGTGGTTGAGGATCAGAAAAACCTTGAAGCGATCTGGCAAACTGCCTCCTTACCCCTTTGCACGCTGGTAGTAATCCAATCGAACGCCGCCTGCGTGACGCTGGCATATAGTAAGTTTAGTTTGTACATGATGCAGATCCTGAGACTGGGAATGAAACCTGAAAAACAAAGTGTAAGAAGACAGAAAAAAGGGGACAGGACAACGCCTCAAACTCAACTCTGGGAATGAAATAAAAAAAAAAGTGTAAGACGAAAAATAGGGGACTGGACAACGTCTCAAACTAAGCTCAGGACAACGTCTCAAACTCAACTCAGCTGAAAACTAAACTCAGGACAACGTCTGAAACTCAACTCAGCTGAGTTTGAGATGTTGTCTCAAACAATACACAATACACGGGCTAATTCGCATCTTATGAGCTAGACACCAATCTAGTTTCACCGCTAAATATAGCGGGGGAAATCGGCGTAACGTCACATCACCTGACGTCACGTGACATACACAACCATTCAGTTTTCCCGCTAAATTTAGCGGGAAAATATACGTCACACTTCACACCGATTCCCTATATTGCATAGTATGCATTGTAGGACTTTGACGGTGCAGGTCGCTGGAAATTGTTTCGCTTACGGTTGTTTACGTTACGTTGTCGTACGACCAGGAGTCACGGGGACATCCGTTTTTCATAAGCCTCATGCAAAACTACTCCTTGAGTTGGTTGTCATGCCTCATACAATGCTCGGCGGTCCCGCTGAGTCTTGATTGTAGCTCGGCATAAGCATACGATGACAGAAGATAGCATGCGTTAAATGGAGGTATGTGGAAAGAAATTTGTTTGGTTCTTGCACAGGAATCGCGCCGACGTCAGAAAGGGGCCTAGCTCTGATTGGCTCTCATGGAAGTATAGTGGGTAGACCTCAAAGCAAGCTGCCTCGACGTCTACCCACTACCCTTCATTCAGAACCAATCAGAGCTTGGCGTTCTGACGTCACCACAACCCCTGCAAAAGAAGCAGACCAACTTTGACTCCGCATATTTGAGGAAACGAGACTATGTGAACGGATGTCGAGGAGTATTCACAAGGGGAAAAAATCCGGCCCTTCGCTCCCTGATATCCGCATCACGTGGTAACAACGACACGCCTTTGCGCGGAACCGCTCTGACGTAGACATCCCAGGGACATGGGGAATCTTTTGCTCGCGCTGCAGAAAAGTTCCACGTCTATTGAACCACTTCCATAAATCTGTCTCCGCGCGCGTTGCATTCTGGGAACCCGTGGGCTAGGAATGGAGGGCGTACGGATTTTGCTGCGCAATGTTTCCCACAATGCATAACTTGGCAGTGTGCCGCGATGAGGCGCTTATAGTTTTGTATTAAGTCAACTTCATAGGTTCTGCTCGGCCAGATACCGGCGGTGGCATCGGGATCGGCTGACTTGTGTTTTACGCTGTTGCGCATGTCGTCCGAGGCACCGGAACCAGTCTTCCGTATTTATCAATGCCGTCTTCAAGCCGCTCATCATAAAACTGGCTTTTGATTGCACTTCCTTTGTAATGCGTAAGCTTTAACTATCTTATGGAGCGGAGTCTGTGGCGATTGTAACCGCGAAAAAAATGCGAAAAAAATGCCCATTCTCCCATTGGCTGAGCGAAACGGCTCCTGGATAGCTATTGGCGGCCCCTTCACGAGAGCACGTGCTCGGCCGCCGCTCTCGTGTCAGAGGTTGCCGAAGGGGGGCCGCGGCCGTTTCACGAGAGCGCGCGCTTGGCCGTAGAGGGGGGGGGGGGGGGGGGCGTTGTGGCTGCTTTTGTGGTGCGAGGAAAATGGCGGCGCCTGAGGCATCTCTACTGTCGGCGGCCGCAACCTGGGCAGTAGCAAAACCTGGCCGTCCACGCCAGTACCCACCAGACAAACTAAGGGAGCGGAAAGACGACATGCATGCTTCCGCATTCACAACTCATAAGAAGTGCTTAGCTGTCCTCGGAATTTTCGACATACTGCCCGACACCTTGCTGGTCAATTTGGCCGTCATTATATATGACTAACTGTGCATTTTGCTTCATTTACCCATTCAAGAAGAATCTTTGTTTTAGCAGGAAGCAGTTCGTCGTCTTCTGCATCTAACAGCGTTGCTGCAATAATCGCGTACCGCAGTTTCATGCACGCATCCTTTTTCTACTCTCGTCAATCAGTAATTAAGCCCTGTTGCCGCGAGTCTGACCACTAAATTCGTCTGATAACACTGACATCCCTCACGACTCTCCGCCTTTCATGTAAATGATAAGGAGTCGGGGAGGGAGTCCCGCTATTTCCGCCCATCGCTGACTTCACGCAGATCCCTCCTCCGAAGGCATCGCTTTTGTGAATACCACTTCAGCACGGAATAAGTCATTTTACCCCCTGATTGCGCAGATGATATGACAACCTTGTCAGCCAGCACGCGCTCGCAACTGCGACCAGGTAGAAAATTCTTGTACTGAACGAACTAACAGAGCAAACAACGCCCTTTGACAAATTTATGAAAGGTGCATTATCCCCAGAATAGCCTCACCAAGGAGGAGGGCTGGAGGGGGGGGGGGGGGGGGGGGGAGGTAGACCGCCCCAAGTGCAGAGCTCAGAGGGGTGCAACTGGGTCTTGAAAGGGGGGAGGTGGGTTGCGGCGGGCCAAAAGAGCTGGGAAAGGGGAGAGGGGGGTCATGGCGGGCCCCGGTTGCCGCTGACTCTAGCGACGCCGCTGATTACCCTCCGGATGTTTCATTGAAGCCCTAGGTGGTATGATTCCTATTCCTGAATTCATAACCAATATTGATCTCTCCCAGTGTTTCAGTGACTTAGTACAAGGATGCTCTGGAATGAAAGGCTTGTATTTGTAATGAAAAGTTCGCAATTACTGTATCTATGAAGGAATTAAAGTCACAACTTTAATTACTTGTAGTAAAAATTTCATTTACAAATCAGTCTGAAGTAATTAAAATGCCGTGATTGAATACCAAGCGTGATGCGAATTTGAGTTTGTCGACTTTAGTCTACCGTTGTGCCACCAAGCGGTCATTTACATGTAATGGCGCGATGAATTCTTGTTAGAATGGTCTTCAAGAGAACAATGTGCAGTCAAAACAGTATAATATTATTTAATAGGGTTATTTAAAAGTGCTACATTAGGGGCTCTTGTATACTGAATTTTATACGTTTTTATGAACGTCTAGATTAATAAAGGTGTGATTCTCTGCTGTTTATTCATAAAAATTACCTTGCAATTAACTAATGACCATCTTCTTTAAAAAAAATCAACAGCATTGACTGTAGATTCAAGAGTGTATCTGTCGGCGGTTTTTGAAAGGCGACTAAGCGTCGAATTTATACAATATGATACATCAACAACGCTCATCGATTCCTAACAAAATACGTTTATATTTCTACGGAACACATTAGACAGCCAACCACAACTAACAATACAAGGATCCCAGCAAATAACGAACGTCCGAATAAGATCAAATTTGAAAAAAGATGCCCGTAGAAATAGCAAGCAAGTGAAACAAATTCTCATTGTCGCTTTGGAAATCTCATTCTTGGGATGTGATTGCATTTTGGACTTCATTCGCTTGGATTTTATTATATTTCTGTGTGAATGACTTTTTGAGTTATGCAGAAAACTGAACTCACAGACTCTTTATGGTGACTGCTGTTAAGTCTAATTCACATGGTACAAATTCGCTTGCGGTTTCGCAGCTGCGACGTCGCTCGTGCAACAGAAAAATCGTGGCAGAGACTACCAGGCTCAACGCCGCTGCTGCTAAATCGCGAAACAATTTGCACAATGTGAATTAAACCTCATTCACGAGGCTTCGCAGAAACTTCCGTCTGTGTTTCATGTACGTACGTCGGGGCCCGCTAAGTTTAGAGGGTAAATAGAGAGTTTTCGTAGATCGCCTTTCCCCTCCGCTAAGCCCTCCGCAAGTAAGAAGCTGCTACTGCGCCTGCGCGCCGGTGGCTTTGACTGTATTTTTCCTGGTATTGTAGCGCGTCGCGGAGAGCGTTGCGAAACGACAAAACGATCTAAAAAAAACTCCCTTATGTATCCGCTTAATTTAGCGGGAAGTAAAAGGTGTCATAACAATGGGACGCTTCAACGTCAGATGATGTCATGTCGCATGGCATCAAAAATGACCCGCTTAATTCATTGCCAAAACATCGCGGCTAAATCTAATGCGTAATTTCTCCGCTGAAGCTAGCGGGCATATTTATGCCTTGTGACGTCATATTGCTACACGAAGTCACAGTGTCACGTGATTTCATGGCGTCACGCAACGTCATAGTGTCACCTGAACACTGTCCGCCAAATTTAGAACGACGTAAATCCTCTGAATTTAAACACAACAGTGCGCAGCGTCTCGGCAGTCACCGGAGTTCATTTGTGGAACACGGCGAAGAATCCTGCATTTTGTTTAACTGTAGCCCATTAATGTTTCTTTTTCCAGGCGACACCACAACCAAGAATGACGAGCAAGTCAATCGAGGACATCAGCGATCTGTTTAGAGAAGTGGACGGCCTCTATATCAGCAAATTCTTCAACGTAGACATCCTGAGGTGTGCTCTCTCCTGCAAGCCCAGACCCGAAGAAATATTCATCGTAACCTACCCAAAATGCGGCACAGCTTGGACTCAGTACATTGTGCACTCCATCTTGAACGACGGTGTGCCACCCAAGGACTTCATTGACTTTGCGCTAAGGTCACCTTTCCTTGAGTTCTTTGGCGCCGAGGCAGCAGAGAAAATGATCCGGCCCGGCGCCATCAAAACTCACTTACTCTGAGAATGCCAAGTACATATACGTCGCTCGGAATCCCTACGACTGCTGCGTTTCTTTCTTCCATCATATCAAGAGCGCGCCTTCGTATGGACTTGGAGACTCGTCATTTGACCAGTTCTTCGAGATGTTTGTTAATGGGAAAGTCAGCTTCGGACATTGGAGTAGAACGCACACCCTCGCTCCTCCCCCCCCCCCCCCCCCCCCGGCTCCACCCCGCAATTCGATCTGTTTCCACAAACCTCAAGGATACGAAGTATCTGTCGACGACCACGCGCTCCGCAGTTAGCATTTTATTTGAACCCAATGTACACACCCTGTATAATAGAAAGTTTGTAAAAATGTTGTTAGTGCACGCAACACCCTCAGGATATCATTTACCTCGAAAACAAAAAGGATTCTATTATACATTGTGTTTGTTTTCACTTGTACTTGTTTTTACTCGTTTTGTACTTAATTTTACTTTACTTACATGGGTTCTGCCTTCACTGTGTTTTTAACTTTTTTGTTTTATTTTAACTGTGTTTTTTTTTTTCGGTTCCGCAGAGCCTCTTGTATGGTTAAGTGTCAATTTGATAATTTCATTGCAGGTGCCCCACCAAAAAAAAAAAAAAAAGTATATTGTCTTCAAATTGGATTTCGGGTTTCCAGCAAGAAATCCAGTTAAACTTCCTATTCCATAATCCAGTTAGCAAATAATTATACTTTTTTTTTTCGGGGGGGGGGGGGGGATAAAATATTTTTGTCGATTTCTTGTTTTTATTTTGTTGCAAATTTTTTGTTATGTCATCATTTTCATCCCTGAAGTCGCTGGAACATTTTCCGAATCACTAGCATATTTTCGATGCATATCTTTAATTTTATATCGATATATATTATTTGTACTGTCCTCTTCTCTACAATAATGCCCCGGCAAGGAAAATGTATGTACCTGAGTAAATAAATAAATAAATAAAAACCAGCTCTGCTAACGTCAGACAGAGCATTATTCATAACGATCAACCTGTAATTGACTAAAATTACCTCATAAACTTTTAAATTAATGACTTTTTATTCATGTTCGAATTGCAGTTTTAAGGCCAATTACTAATAATGACAAGAGCAGTTTATATAATTTCCTAAAAAGGAATGATATTTGACACGCACTTTCATCCATAAACTTTCGCATGTTTGTCGGAAGATCAAAAAGTGCGAGCATAGAAGCGCCTTTGATTTTTTATGGTAGTGCGTTCTAAATAATCTGCAGAAGAGTGACTGGCCCTTTGTCGTTTCTTGACAGCGTCCGGTCGACGTTTTTACCAACCGTGCGCTGCCGAAATAATGAGAATAGGGGATCAGCACGTTCACATCAATCAAATAAACAACGTCTAGTAAACAACGAAAGTAATTCGTTTCTTAAGTGAGCTGTTATAGCTGTAGTATCACGTGCCAGAAAAGTGTATCTCAAAAACTATTTTGACGAACCGTCCTTAGACACGTTCTGACGCAGAATGGTGAATACAATTCCAAATGATACGAGTAAATTTAAGTTTTGAGCGAACCAAGCAACAAAACAGCCACGCAAAACATGCAGGCGAAGAAAAGTGTTTTGTGAAGTGAAATATTGCACCAAGAATCTTAAGCGAGGCATCACAAATAGTCGATACATGGCAAATAAAGTTCAATGCTGAATGAGCAAAAATTCCAAGATCACGAGTTCCAAACACTCGGGCCATGGCAATGCACTCTAAGGTGTATGTAAATACAAATGGGTCATGCTTCCTGCTCAGCCGTATTATCCTTGTTTTCAGCTTGCTCTGAACGAGGGAGTTATGTTGACACTAATGAGACAGTGCTCAGGTGTCAAATTGAAGAAACACGCAGTCAGAAAGAGAGCAAATACAACAAAATAGCTCATCAGCAAACAACAACATTTTGGAGTTCTTCACACAAAGCACTGCGTCATTTACAAAAATTAAATACAAATGTGAACCGAAATTGCTTCAGTGTGGTGCTCCAATGCGTGATAAATGGAAATCAGATAAAGCATCCGAAACACGAAGAATATTTCTGCGACGTGAAAGATACCTTTTGAGGGTAACAAACTATCGCTCTCAAGTTTAGACAGAATATTACAATCAATTTTGTCAAATCTCTTAGACCCATTGAAGTTAATTACAGTCCCTTAAGTAACATGTAATTATAGCCTGGTCAGAAATAGGTGGGAAATAATGCCGATTAATTTATTGGGCCCATCGGTTAAGATATGACTTCTACTCATTAGCATTCTGAGCAGCATTGCCGCTTGCACAAGAAGCGTCAAAGGTTAGAACCCTTCCAGTAAATTTCCACCCCATGTTAGCATAATCACGATCTTTGCGAAATAATCAATAGCACGGAGAGAAATATTTTTGCAAAGGATACTTACCACACGCTACGTTTCAGCAAGGCAAGCAACGGTGAAAGAGCTGCTTATAGTCGATCATCTATTGCGAAGACTTACTTTCAACGCCGCAAAACTTTTGGTGTATAAAGCGAGCATTTCTTTGCGTTTGGATAGTCTTGTGGGTAAATCGAAGTGCACAAGTTCCCGTTCTCGACCTGCTAGCTCGACCTGTCTCGTGCCATATTTCTTGCTCTGTTTTTTCAGACGCTTGCTATTGTACTTTTAGAGCACCAAAAGGGCGGAAAAGGAACCCCGCCGGCCAAATGTCCTGACTACTGATTCTCTCAAACTAATTGGTTGTGTTATGCGCATATTTAGACAGCCGGAAATTAGACAGCCTCAATGCGTGTCTGGTATTTCAGTTGCAGAGGAGAAATTTAGCCAGTCCATTACAATCGCTAGCCACGCACTAGTGATTCACGACCGCTCGCCGGCACGATTCTCATCTAGATCGGAAAGGGCAAGTATGGGGATTTAAGGGATACTACAACGAAATTTCGGCGCTTATTTTTTGGTCTATATGTGTTCAAAAGAGCAGTATCACATGGAACATACCAATATCTTGTTAAAAAAGTCTCGAAAAGGAATTTTAAAACGAATTAAACGATTAGCAAAGAGCACCTGGTGGATGTCGCTAACGCCTCGTTTGTAACGCTCGTCTAGGAACCATGACAGCTAGTGACGGAGGTTGTCTCGTCTCCGGCCACGACGAGAGAAGAGGGGAAGGAGGAACTCCCCTCTTCCCGAGAATCCCTTTTGTGTGTCGCAGAAGTCGCTATTCTCCCCCCAGAAGATTATAGAAGATTAACCCGTCACTCAAAATTCGTACAAAAGCAGCCGCTTCGGTGGCTGGAACGAGTAGGCCATCCTCTCGACGTCAACCTCGCCGTAGCTTTGCTCGTCATGAGACGACCTACGTCACGATTGCGTTGGATGTCACGTGTTCTAAGCTGGGCCTTCTACGAGCGCTTGCCAGAGTGGGCCGTTTATAACGAAAAATACAGCCACCAGGATCAAAATACAAACGTGCGATTGTCATTTACGGATATTGTGGATCATATTCAACCTATTTTTGAACACGACGGGAATATTTCAAATTTCGTTGAAGTATCCCTTTAAACCCAGAATGCCTGGGTTCTGCAGCGCGAGCTTTCGCTCCACGTAATACGAGCCGTGGCGCGCTAACACAGTCGGCCAACGATCTCCCGTTCCTGATTTTCTCAAAATTATCGTTCTTAACAGATACAAGAAAGGTTGAGTTGCTATTATATTTTGTCACAAGCTTAGCGCACGTCATTTATTTGCCTTTCAAAACACTTGCCGGGAATTTCAAGATGAGGGATTCGATAGTACTTGTGTCAAGCCGGGACGTAAATACTGCACGCTGTCTTGACTGACGTGAAAGGGTGTCGTTTTGCCAGACCTGTACTGCAAGCAACCTGGGTCTTTCACGCACGCAAGGGGCCATAGAACCGCACCTCGGTACAGTATACCCGTTCATATTAAGACAGGCAGGGATGAGGGTTGATCGCAGAACCCCTTACTTTAGCTGTGAGAAAAAAAAAACAATTTTGCGCCCACACATCCGCGCACACGCCCGGGCAAACTTATTCGTGCGAATCGACATTGTAAATAAACCGGCAGAAACCCGGGAACAAAGCCGTCTCTGAAATACAAAGACACGTAAGACTGCTAACGAGTAGCGATCCGAAAGCATCCGTATACGTAGCGTATTCCCACAAGCTGCTCGCCGCGCTGAGCCCGGTCGGTCGACCTCTGAGTCGGCTCCCCGGGCGGTCTCTGCGGCCTGTCGCTCTGCAGAGCCCGGCCACCCTCCCCCCCCTTACCGGCGTCCGGGCTGCTGCGCCATGGAAAGGGCTTCTCTGTGGGGTGGCGTTCTTTGGAACTTTGCCGAGAGCCGTGCAATTGGAGTTTTCCATCAATTCGCTGTTACAGACTACAGGCTTCCCTCCATGGGACCATTTAATGCTTTCTCATTAAAACACAAGAACAGAAAATAATCAAATTGTATAACTATCCTATCAACTACCTTGTTGTTTATCGGGTATTCTCCGCCTAACTGGCAGAGACGTGTATGATTTATGTCGCAAGCAGATAAAACCACACAGAAAATGTTAAATGATAACACACATTATATCATCCTTGACCATACAACAAAAACTGTAACCCAAATTTAATTGTTAGGGCGAGCCAATCAAGGCAGCTCAATATCACTCCACAAATTCATGACGTCGCTTCTTTTTGTCCTAAACGCGATCCAGTTTTTCATTCGTTGAATTTGTTCGGGTGAGAAGTGATTTTTGTAGTCTCCAAGAATACCCTTGCGAACGAAGTTTCCTTTGTGCACGAACATTTCCTTATCACTAAACTTCTGACCGAATATTTGCAAAGATTTCAACTGCCTTTCAGGTGGAAGTGCAAAGAGATTTGGTACCATCTGCTTCGCACCGTCGTTCACTTGCTTCTTGAGGCCTTCCAAGCTGGTGGATTTGACTACTTTCTCGAGCAACGTGTCGTCGGTTCTCAGCTTTCGACCGTACTGCTCACCTAGAAAGTCTGCAATCTTTAGCACGCAAGCCACCGTGTCCTTCTTTAAGTCTTCGTATCTTAAGAAAAGGACATTCGAATCTTTTCGGTGTTCGTACCAGGAAAGCAAGTTGTCAAAGTACTCTCCGCAGCCAACTTCTCCGGCAAGGAACAACTCGAGGAACTGGTCGAATGTTGCGTCTTCTAGCCCATAGTGAGGGATACTTTTGCAATGGTGGTAGAAGGAGACACAGCAGTCGTACGGATTTCTAGCCACGTAAATGTACTTGGCCTTCTCCGAATAAGGCTGTTTGTGGAATGGAAGGTGGCACTTGATGGCACCTGGTCGCGCCATTTTCTCCGCCGCTTCGGCACCCAAGAACTCTAACCAGGGAGACATCAGCGTGAATTCTGTGAAGTCCTTCGGGAGGGCACCGTCGTTCAAGATGCAGTACACGATGTACTGAGTCCAAGTCGTGCCAGACTTTGGGTAGGTGACGATAAAGATGTCGTCGGACCGGGGTTTGTAGGACAGAGCGGATCGCACTGTGTCCTCGTCGAGGAAACTGCTGATGTAGAAGCCATCCAGGTCTTTGAAGAGGGGAGGGAAATTTACGTCCAGTCCAGATGACATTTTTGCTTCCGCTTTATCCTGTAAATCGGGACAGAAAAAGGTGGCGAGTTCCGGGCATGTAACTAGTACTGCTCTGTTAACAAGATGGCAAAACTATCTACCAAGAATTCCAAAAACCGATCACAAAGCAGAAAGCGGCAACTTATTTAGCCAAGCCCTACGTTTCTTAAGTTGTTCGCGCTTCTCATTTTACCCGGATCTTTAAAGAAACATCTCCTGATTGCTTCCAAAAAAAGATTCTTAGAATATAAAATAAACAAAATAGACATGATAATCCTTACCTAGAACAAGGTCATTCTACAATTTTTGTGACAATGATACATACAATATTATTATTACTGATTTATGAACTGCGATTTCAGACAAGACAGACTGCAGGGTATTAAAAGCCGTCAAAGACTTGTGCGTGAACTAAAGTGGTGAGTGTGAAAGGAGGCGTACTCTAAGAAAAAAATCAAAATAAACCTCAAAAGTGCACTGGAACACTACTAAACACCGTTTAACCTTACGGTGTGCGGATATACGAGTCCCCAGAGCCAACCTATAGATTGAAGTATGTCACGGTGACGTTCCCGTTGCGAGGAGCAACGCGCAGTACACGAGTCACGTGACACGCATGACTCGTCTCCCCCAGAGCTCCATGTCTACTAGCGGAAGGCATGTGCACTGGATTCTTTACCTCAACTTCCTCGACTGAGCTCGGGGCAAAGATTGGGTGCTGATTGATCAGCAGCCCGAGCCTAACGCTGACGCGACGTTCAACTACGTGGGTCGAGCTCTGTGTCAAAACACTGACAAACAATCTACTTTGTTGTTTTCTTCATCGGTGTAGTCCTCAATTTAGCTACTAGAGGCGCGATGGCTGGATCTCCTTCCAATTGCGGATCCACGTCATGAAGTTTGCCATCACACCCCGCTTGCCCGGTCAAATTTTGCTGAGCTAACGCTAGTATCTGCCCTGATATTAAATCAAGCATGCGGGTTTTTCTATCAAAGGCCTTCAGAGCAAAATTTATTTCATCAAATCGCCAAGTTGATTACTCGGTGTTTTGGTGTTCGTTGATAAGGTCGTGAGATAATGAATGAAGACGCAGCACACTTTATGAAAAGTCAGCTTCTAAATCAGCACTGAATCAGCAACAGTTAGCCTTGTCACGTAGTCCAGCTTTGTTCTCTTAGATAGTGCTCGGTGCTTTCCAATCCACGAGCTGGCTCTGCCCTTATAATAACTTATCCGTCTGTATATCAATTGTTGAACAGCAAGCAGCTTCGTGGCATGTATTAAGATGTTAACGCAAGGACACTCGCATTTAAATACGCTTTATTTATTTATGCCAATTTATACGCCAACGCTATTTTATCGTTCTGCTTCATATTTACAAAAAAATGAATCGAGGACACAGCCCCAGTTGTGGGAACTCCGCCAAAGACTTTCGGGTGGAATACCGCCCCAGATCCAGACAATGTCACAATATGGTCTATATTTAGGAGAAACCAGCTGAACAAACCAACCATACAAATGAGAGGAGAACGTGAGAGACGCATTCAACCACTGCACTACCATTTGCGTTTAATGAAAAACTGGATCTTTATCGCGTACTAGGATCATTCAAAACATAACTTGATTGACTTTTTCCTTTTTTTTCTCTTCATTTTTAGGCAAGGACATCCTGCTCTTTTGTCTACTGGTGGGCAGTACTTCCACCTCGCAAGAATATACTCTCACCCCTGGTTAAGGTCAAAAGTTGACACACGAGCAGGATGCCCTAATATCAAAAAAGAAGAAACAAATAAGGAAATAGTGACGCGAGCTATGCTTTGAATGATCTTAGCCAGTCGATGAAGATGAAGAGTATCATTAGACGTGGTGGGTAGTCTAGCGGTTGAACGCGTCTCTCATGTTTTCCTCTCACTTGTATGGTTAGTTTTTTTCAGCTGGTCTCTGCTAAATATGTTCTACCAACGTGCTCCACTGTTTCCCGTGGTTAATACGGCCCAGGACTAAATCTTCTTGGCTAGAGCCACCATAGGAGCTACGCTTATAATATCGGCACTCTGTTCCCCGCTATTGTTCTAGGCGCGACAATATGGTGCCTGCGCAGAGCAGACGCAACTGACGATTGTCGTGATTCAAATATGCGACTTTCTCAACATTAGCTTCGGTGTTAGGAAGCTCATGTATTATTGTTTTGCTCTGTTGCGAACTATTAAAACATTTGTGGAGGATGGAAAAGCGTTTCTTGTGATTTTAGATAAAGATTAAAATAACTGGCAACCATGATTTTAAGACACAAGATGGATAAGTGTCATTACTCTGAAGAGTAGCTTATTTGGTGGCACTAGTTCCTGTTATAATGGTTTCGCAAAAAATGGCCAGTCAAACTTTTTCCTGCCAAAATAGCCCCGAGGGCTAAACACGGAAAATAATCCTGAATGAATTTCGCAGCATTGTTTTTTTTTCCTCTCCACCGGTTTGCCAGTTGCTTGTACAAAAAATGTAACATATTGAACAAAACGGTTTGATAAATACGTGTGTTACAAAATATTTGCCATAATAAGGGTATAGTACAATTTAAATTACGCTTACTTTCAAGTTCAATAATTAGGTAAACTACAAGATAGAAGTATTTTATAGTCTACAAAGTACGTATAGCACAAATAGTAAAAAAATTGACTTTTTTACGTAAGGAGCTTAAGTTTTCTATAACTCATGCTACTGTTTCTGCATTCAACTTGCAAAAAAACTTAGTGAATAAAAATGTATGTGTTAAAATATTGGCACTTTTCACATCCAATCATGAGTTTTTACTTTATATTGTGAGATCGCAATAACAAACGACGATATGTATAAATATGCTAAGTTAATATTCCGATCATAGATAAACTACAAGCAGCAAAGTTTATATAAAAAAGTCTAGAAAATTACAATTATATTTCATTCTGCGGTTTGCAATTGAGATTATTTATACTGGAGCCGTTTTGTGAGGGACCATTCCGTTCGCGATGCATTTTTCACAGACACGTGGTGTCCATGCCAGTGCATTGGTTTCAGCATAACCCCATATGGCTATGTTAATTTTATCTTGCTCTTAAAAGGTATAAAGATCCAAACGAAATCCATAAATTACTTCTGCTGGATGCTCTGGAACGTAAAGGACTGTTTATACTCCGACGTTGAGCGCAGTGAACACAGCGTAGCACAGAAAGCGCGTGTTTCATTGGCCGGAAACCAGAAACTCGATATCTCCGACATATCCGTATCTCTGCGCGCTGCGCAACGCCACGCCCGTCGACGTTACGTTGGAGTATAAACGTACATTAAGCCTAATAAACAATTTTGCTTTCAAGAAAAGGCTTTCCTGATATTTTTTCTATAATTGATTCTAATTGTTGTGAACCACACAACTGTCAAAGCATATAACCAGTCGCATTAAGATTAAAATGCAATAACGAGCGCTAACAAGGAAAAATAAAAAGACTGATTAGGAAACATTTATTTTATATAACCCAGCGCACTAACATTTTTCCGCCTTAAACTCATTCGCTATTTGTTTGTTTGTTTTTGTTTTGTTTTTTTCTAATAGCCCTGAATGCGTTGACATGCAAACGATTATAAGTAGTCGAATCAAACTTATTACAACCACAACTCTTCTTGAACGACAAATTACAAGTTAATCAAGGCAGCAAGGCTTATTTATGGTAATCAAATTTTAAGCCCACGAAAAAATTTCGCCGTACATTTTTTATAATGCCTTGATTTGTTTTCAAGTTAGAAACCCGTGCCCATTACGTATGCTTAGAAAAAGAACGTTTTAAGGAACGACAAACAAAAGCATTAGGTTACAACTTGCAACAAGCACATTCAACTGAAAACATTCAGCGCTTGATTACAGTCCTCCGATTTACCTGAGAACAAGGAGTTCCAGCGAAGAAAGAAGCTTGGTAAAGTTGGCAATCCTCTGGCAGCTCGCGGTAAAGAATACGTTTTATTGCGGATGAAGTCAGGCTCCGAGAGATATTCTTATCATTGTGGCGGTCATTTTCCACGTTGATATCAGCAGCGCAAAGGAGCATATTGTGCAGTTATCCGCTGGCTTGATGAAGGGTATACATATATACAAAACATAACGATAGCGTTATCTGCAATTCCCCTCCAGTCTGCCTGATACCTCAGTGAGTGAAGGGCAAGGCTCCGGCGCGACAAATAAACAGCAAAAGTATCACGCACAAACACGTCGTTTTATCTGCTAAAGGGGTATCCACACGAAGGAGAACTCCGCGGACGGATCTCGTGACGTCAACCACCCGGGAAACTCCGTCCCCGGCTCCGCCACGTGCACCTGCGGAGCTTTCGTGCTGCCAGCACGAAGCCTCCGCGCCTCCGCCACGGAGGAGAACGGCGGCCCGAGGCCAGCGAGGCGTCAGAAAAGGATGACGTATGTCTCACGTGATGCGCGCTCCGCGGAGGAAAGGGGCGGATTTCTCCTTCGTGTGGATACCCCATAAGGGGTTAAACTGAAATGTCAAGGGCCGCCAACTCAATGCAGTATTTTACTTTTGAGACAGCTGCGTTTTTGTAGTTATTATTAAAACATTATGGTGGCTTCTACCCTTTTTTCAATCCCTTTATTAAATGTTTTAAAGATTTTGTTATATTTATATTTTCAGGCGAAACCTTCGTTTCCAATTATTCGCATAAACCATTCGACGAACATGCCTGGCACTAACCACACGAGATCGAACAGACGAATTCAGTCGTGCTTTATTTTTCAAGCAGGTTTGTAACAATAATTTTGCACTACATATTATATGCCCATATATAAGCCCAAGCTCATAAATTGTGTATAGTGGCTGTAGATATTCTAAAGAAAATGTATTATTTGTTCTGTCCGCTGTCTATAGCATTTTGGCTTTTTCCTGTTGACTTTCTATAGAACTATAAATCCTGAACATTAACTTTGGGTTTTTTACAATATATCCGTGGAAAGATGCACTCGCCACTTGGTTTGTGCACATCCGCCGACATTGCAAATACACCAAGCCAGGATCTCTCATAACACTAATAATTCAGTAGACATAATATAAACAACGCGACTGACAGGGACGAAGAAAGACTGTGCGACACGAGCGCTGACTGGCAACTGACGGTTTTATTGTCATGAAACACAAACAGAAACAAACATAAAAATGACCCTCCAATCCAGATGAAATCACGACCGCGCATAAAAATGGCTTTTGGCTCCTTCACAACATTTTGTCTAATAATTGACGCTGTGCACACCCATCACCCCTAACTAAAAATTCTGCCTCGCTGTCTAACAGCACCAAGGATGCTTGACTCACGCAGGTTGGGCCAGCTTTCCTTATATTGAGTGCCTCGACAATCTCCCGTGCCTTTTGGTCTTTGTGTCAACAGCATGACGACCTTCTCCAGTATCGGGTGGCGGGAGCAGTCCCTGCAATACAATGCCAAGCGGGAGCACGCTGCCCCAAAGAGCTACGATTTTCACGCAGGCGAACGTTAAGCCACCGCCCTATCTGCCCGATGTAAACCTTCCCACATCTGTTAAGTTGCCCCCTAGTACAAGACATGAAATGAACGTGGTGCCTTACGCCACAGCCACCCTTCTCCGGTTTCTCCCCTACTCTCACGCGCTTTTCCACTGCGGAGCAAATTCCACTCAAATTGTTTCGCGTCAAGAACACCACGTCCACCCCATACTTTGAGGTGGCCCTTTTGAACCCGTGCGGCACGCGATGCAGTGGAAAAGCGCGTGAGAGAAAAAAAAATAAACCGGAGAAGGGCGGTTATGGCGTAAGGCACCGTGTTCATAAAGTGTTTTGCACCAACGGGGTAGTTTACCAGATACCTTTCTCTCCTGGAAAGTTTTACATCGGGCAGACTGATGTTCGCATGCGTGAGCATCGTAGCTCTTTGGCAGGGACAGCGTGCTCCCACCTGGCATTGCATTGCAGGGACTCCTCTTTCCACCCAATGCTGGAGGAGACCGTCGCGTTGTTTAGACACAAAGACCAAAAGGCACGGAAGATTGTCCGGGCACTCAATATAAGAAAGGCAGACCCAACCTGCCTGAATCAAGCGTCTTTGTCGCTATTAGAGAGCGAGGCAGAATCTTTAGATGGGGGTGATGGGTGGTGCACAGCGTCAAGGATTAGACAAAGTGTTTTGACGGCGCCAAAAGCCGTTGTGATGCACGGTCGTGATTGCCTTGTGATCGGAGAGTCATTTTCGTGTTTGTTTCTCCTTGCTTTTATGAAAATAAAACCGTCAGTTGTCAGTCTGCGCTTGTGTCGTCCAGACTTTCTTCGTCCTTGTCAGTCGCGTTGTTTATATTATGAATACGTACTAACTAGCCCAACTATCCGTTCTGCTAAAACTGAGTAGTGTTGACTGCTCCACGGCAATAGGTACCCTGCACTTAAAGACAACCATTTGAGAGTAGACCAGCCCAGAAGGTTAAAAAGACTACAAGTGTGTTGGTTTGTCTTGCCAAGACTTTGTACGAAATGTAGTTTCTAAGGGTTCTTGAACTGTATCTTCAATTATAAAGCAATGCAAGAAACTATAATTATTCGACACATTTAAAAAACGTACCCTCCGAAAGGAGCTTCTAACTGGGTTTGATGTCGCTGCTCCGGACTGCATTTTATCATTCTATTAAATCTTGTCTATAAATTTTCTGCAGAAAGATAGTGACATAAAGCATGTTGAGCAGCGGCGATAGAAATTATATAGCTTTTTCATCGTCTGTAGTTTAGAGACCTCGATAGGAAAGGCATTCAAGTTGTTGATACGACGTGACTGAATAGAAAGTTGAAAGACCCGTTAAAAGGAGGATAAGCTTTTTATATACTGCCTGCATTTTTATTAGGGTTTTACCCAAACGTAATCTGAAAACAAAATTTTCAGAAATCTGTATTCAGAAATGAAATGTTATGTTCAATATAATTCGATGTACTGGTTACGTGAAGACATTCACTTCTTCAAAGTTTTTTTTTTTTTTTTCAAAGTTTTGATGCTCTTCAAAGCGTAAGATTTTTTTAAAAATATAAGTTCAATTTTTTTTCATCACCAGGAACCTCTAGTAACAAATTTCTTTTATCGTACTCCTACTTGGTGAACATTTGTAGAAGAAATGAGCACAGTGTTTCACAAATATAATTTCAGTGAGATAGTACGCAATGTTAACGGTGTGTTTGGCTTGCTGATTTTCAGAAATACTCAAATGACAGCTACGTTTTCCAAAGTTTATTTAAAGCAAACATCTCAAAAGTTTATTTAAAGCAGAGACATTTACTATACTCGTAGACAACTTTCTGCGACTATATAGTTGAGGTCACAGGCGCAGGGAAGTCGAGTAACTTGGACGCCACTTAATGCGGTACATGGGCGCTCTTCACTCCTCCTTAAATACCACAGAAAGTTGTCCATAAGTGTAAATAGCCTCACGGATCATCAGACAGGATATAAGTTGAAAGATGGGTTTTCTCATTTGTGAAAGCTCTCTGCAAGCTTGATTCATAGTGTTCGCTAAGCACATAAGTGTGTGAACACTGTGAGTTGAGCACCATAATATCAAACGTACGCGTCTGCTAATACCAGATGACCTGTCTTAAACGTTTTACATCTCTCCGCTAGTAGCTATTGCGAATGTCCGCATCTTTAAGCAGTATTGATCATCAAGAGCCTTCAGAAATCTTACATGTGATAATGCCTCAATCAAGAAAGCATTATTTTTCATGGCAGCAAATAACTTCCAGCTTCTCACAGTCTTGTTCAATATTTTATTTTGCAGGTTAACTATTCCTACCATTCTTTTTTTATTTGGCCCGCTCCGTATTCGTTTAGCGCTAAACCGGCCACTTGTAGGATACGTTTGTCGACCCTAGACCTTGAGCTATTGCGTTTAGAAGAATGACGCAAAAACCTCGATACTGGGGACACCTAGCAGCGTATTCCGTGACTAAAAAGCATATGCACCGCAAATTTAAAATTCCTAATACTTCGGCGTACCTCCATTTCTTTTTTTTTTTTTTCAAATTGGGCAGTTTTTGTGTAGTATAGAAAAATGGCCCTAGCCACATACAAGTGTTATGATTCAGAGGCACTTTTTTGCCAAGGAATGAATATTTGTATTTAACTAAAAGAAAACAACGTTATCCCGAAATACGAATCCACCGGAATGTTATCGTGGAAGCCCAATATCAATCCACAAATTCATAACGTCGCTTTCTTTTGTCTTAGACACGATTCGCTCCTTCATCCGTCTAATCTGTTCAGCCGAGAAGAGGTTTTTGTAGTCCCCAAGGACACCCTTGCGAAGAAGTTCATGCTTGAGCTCCAACTTCGGTCTTCCGCCAGATCTTTGACTGTAAACTTGCAAAGACTTAAACTGTCTCTCAGGGGGAAGTGAGAAAAGATCATGCATCAGGGTTTTCACGCCGTCATTGACTGTTTTTTTCAGGCTTTCAAAGCTGGTGGCTTTCACGACTTTGTCGAGGAGCACGTTGTCATGTCTCAGCTTTTGACCGTACTCTTCACCGAGGAAGTCAGCGATCTTGAGCACCCAAGCCTTTATGTCCTTTTGTAAGTCTTCGTACCTGAAGAACAAAACATTTGAATTGTTTCGGTGCTTGTAGAGAGATAGCAAGTGGTCAAAATAGTCTCCGTAGCCAACTTGGCCACTTAAAAACAAATCTAAAAATGTATCAAACGGTGCGTCTTCAAGCCCATTGCTAGGGATGCCTCTAGCGTGGTGATAGAAGGAGACGGAGACGTCATACGGGTTTCTAACCACAAATATGTACTTCGCGTTCTCAGAGTAAGGAAGCTTATGGAAGGGAAGATGGCATTTGATGACGCCTGGGCGGACCATTTTTTCTGCAGCCTCGGAGCCCAAGAACTCAAGCCAAGGTGACCTTAGAAAGAATTCTGTGAAGTCCTTGGGAAGGACACCGTCATACAAGATGCAATGGACAATGTACTGTGTCCATGTTGTTCCACATTTAGGGTACGTGACAATAAAGATGTCGTCGGACCGGGGCTTGTAAGACATAGCGGATTGTACGGTGTCCTCGTCCTGGAAGATGCTCATGTAGAAGCCATCCAGGTTCTTGAAAAGAGAACTGGCATTCACATTTGGTGCAGCTGACATCTGTTCCAGAGGTTTCTCCTGTAATTATAGATAGAACAATAGTTGCACTCTGTGCCGATTGCACCCTAGCCATCTAATCTTGAAATAATATCATCACCCCCCCCCCCGTCAGCTCAATATATTGGGGGAAATGTACGAGAAAAAAATGAAAGATCAAATATGGAATCCTTAGTTCCAAACTTTTTATAATGCGAAGGATAACACCCAACATTATTCCGGTATTGGGTAGTGAAAGCTTAGTTGGCACAAAATATTTTTCACTGACAAAACAAACCCCAAGCACTATTTACACAGGTGCACATTGATTAGCATAATTTACATAATATCATTATTGTCCACTACATTGAAAATGTTGAAAAATAAAATATTCATTCAATAATTAATATTGCCAAGCCAGGTTTTGGCTGAACACTATTAAATGTCCGCGGCGCAACGCGGCATTGAACATCGCCGTAATTAGGCCCAGAAGAAGTCTGTGTAAAATACTCTTTTTTAAAGTAAATGCTTGAAAAAAATGTTATTTATCGGGTCGCTGTTGAGACGAGATAATCACTAACTTTGAGCCCAATAACACAACTTTGAAGGACATTATAGCAACACCTTTGTCTTACAGCGTTCTGTTTATTTGATTAAAAACTTGTGAGGCTTCAAAATATGTAGAACCATAATTTGGTATCATATGTCATTAGTATATATTTGCACAATCAAACCACAACATTTGAATAGTTCAGAAAGGCACAGACTAGCCTCAGCTAGCTGGCCATCCCTCTCGCTGTCAGTAAAGCTCCAAATCTTTACAGAAAAAAGAATAAATTCTGTTATGCATACGCCTCCCGCACACTTTGGCAACCCCACGAATATAGAAATATACGGTCACCGAATCTCGACATTCTAAAAAATGAAGATCTACCGGTTTATGTTATCACAAAAGAAAAGCACCTGAACAAAAATAATTGTGAACGACGAGCATCAAATTAGGCAAGTAATTTATCATTGCCTTCATAAATAAATCTTAGATTACTATAAGCATATATACAGATAATTTCGGTTTCAGATTTAATTAGCTTCAGCGATTTCTTTGGTATAAACTCCAATACCAGAAAAAAACTGGCCGTTAATTTCAGCATTCCGAATGGTGTATCTGCGCGGTGGAGAAACCGTTAGTGAAGGATCTGGAAACATATTTCCAATCTCGATGGGGTATGTAACGTTGGTGGCATGCTTCCCTAATCTATATTGCATATCACTGT